AAGACTAAGAAGGCTGAAGTGAGTTGTCCAAGGCCAAAGAGGTTGCATGTGTCAGAGAGAGAGGACAGGATCAGACCAAAAGCCATTTCTGGAAGCAGGTGATTGAACTGGGAACTTAATACATGCAGTTTCTAGGAAGACAAAGTCATAAGTGTTTCAAGTCCTGCAGTGCTTGCAGGAAGATATACTCTGAAACTACTCTTTATCCTTGGATCCTCAAGGACATTGGGCAAAATGCTATTACATCAGTGTATCTGTAGTGATTTTGGTCATATTTTTTTCAGTGCAGTCAGCTTCCAACTGACTGTGTCCAAGCATCCATTATAATTTCAAGTTACCACAGAAACCTCACAGGCCACAATCAGATGAGGACAGGACCCTGTACCACCTTGCACTTTGTGTAGTCATTTTCTTCCGCTGCCTAAAAGCTTTCCCATCTTGTATTTTTTCCATGAGGATGATCAGGGGACTGGAGCATCTCCTGTATGAAGATAGGCTGAGAAAGTTGGGACTGTTCAGCCTGGAGAAGAGAAGGCTGTGTGGAGACCTCATAGCAGCCTTCCAGTATCTGAAGGGGGCATATAGGGATGCTGGGGAAGGGCTCTTCACTAGGGGCTGTAGTGATAGGACAAGGGGTAACGGGTTCAAACTTAAACAGGGGAAGTTTAGATTGGGTATAATGAGGAAATTCTTTCCTGTAAGGGTGGTGAGGCACTGGAATAGGTTGCCCAGGGAGGTTGTGAATGCTCCATCCCTGGCACTGTTCAAGGCCAGGTTGGACAGAGCCTTGGGTGATATGGTTTAGTGTAGGTTGTCCCTGCCCATGGCAGGGGGTTTGGAACCTGATGATCTTAAGGTCCTTTCCAACCCTAACTATTCTATGATTCTTCAGAAACTGACAGTTTGTCCACCATGTATGCCTTGTTAGTGATTTTCTTGTTTGAGTCGTGCATGGGGTGGATGGTGGGGAATGCTGAAATATCCTATTTTGACATTTTCTAACAGATTTTATGACTAGCTTGAGGGGTGGGGGTAAGGTGGGGGTATGGGAGGAAGAAGGGTGGGGGCATGGGGGGAAGGAGGGTGGGGGTGAAAAAGGTGAAAGCAGAATAAAACTGTTTGAAACTGTAGAAACGAAATGTTTCAGTTCAACATGATTCAAAATATTTCTGCAGTATTACCATTTGATTACCATTCTTTCAGAAGCCCCAAATCCATTTAAGTCTTCCTGGAAGGGAATTTGAGGTGGAGGACAGTTGTGAGTCCTACGTGCTGTGAGTGAGACCCGAGAGGCCTATTTTATAATTTTAGTAACAAGAAGAGCTAGTTAATGATGTAATCTGGTGTTTCAGTTATATGAGATTTATACAACACTGTTTCTAAGAAAGAGTAAGATGATAGGAAATCTTTGCTTTTAAGTGCAAGGTAAGAGTCTACCAGATTGCTTTCACTAGACAGAAGTTTTGCACATAGAACTTGGCTACCTCAGTCATTCAAGCTAAAATGTTAGATCCAAGGTTTTCAAGAATTATAAATTATTTGGGGGAATCCTGATTCTGCTCCCATAAAAAGAGTTGATATGGAATTGACATGGCACCCTAGACCATCACTTCGAGCTGCTGCTTCAGGACAGCATGGATCTCCTGCGGGTCCTGTGCTGTGGGGGCTCGTCTGAGATGCCTTAAGGCATATCAAATACCTCTAAATGTCAGCATGGATTGGCAACTCAATTGATTCTACACTATTTTCCTGACCACTACCAGGAAATAAAAATCTTCAAAGATATCCCGATGTGGGTATACAGAACAGAGGCACACCAAAGCAGACACACTCAGAATCACTACATTCCACTTGAAAAATCTTAGAGCTTGCAGATTCAAATGTCAACACTGTATGTTTCTTACTGTTGGGACTAAGAGCTGCTAGTGTGATTACAAGGAAGTGGATGAACGAGATGTTATGGTTACAGCAAGAAAGCTTGATGACGACAGCATAACCACAGAGAAGTTTTGCATGTTGCCCAGTGGTAGCCTGGCACTTGATTGTTTTCTTTAGCAGCAGCAATTGGGTTTAGCAGATCATCAGAGAACACACACATGATCCAAAACCAAAAAAAAACAAAGGGGTATTTTTTTAACCTCAGTTTCTTCTGCTTTATCACATACATAACCGCAGTTCATTTTTGCATCTTCTTTGCAGGTTTCCAGGAGAACAGCTGCTTTACTGTAGTATAAGCTTTCTTACTATCCTGGTTATTTTAGCTTCTCTTTGACCATTTCTCTTCTCTTTCAGAGCTACATCCTTCCCACATATTATGAATATACCAATTCCTGTCAATCATTTCTAACAAGGCTAAAGTCTTCATCTTGAGCCACCTCAGGTTTCATTTTTGGTCACATTTGGCCATTTCTGAAGCCTTTTTCTCTTCTCCTAGTTTTGTAGGTTTTAAGGTCAGATTTTATCGGTCAAGTGCCTCACAGTGGATAATGTATTCTAATATCTCCACAACTGCATAGTTATAATGTCAGTTAACTCCAAATAGGTTATTAAAATGTTGCAAGTTAATACAGGGCTTCTGTTGTTATTGCCTCCTCTGTGATGCTCATACAATTTTAAGGAAGTCAATGGAATTTCTTTATTGCGTGTGAGAAATGCATCTTGATATGTAGCACACCACCTTAGTGATAAAACTCTGTTCGCAGTCTGACTGATTCCTTCAAAGTGATATCACATTTTCAGGTTTAGATGAATGCAGGCACTTGTACTTGCACACCCCCAATGTCCATTGTGTCCCTCAGTGTGATCACTACGTACGCAGATTAAATTTTTGACAGTTACCTAATCCACATGTAACCTAAAACTTGTCTACTTTGACACGAAAAATCTAATTTGTGTCTGCAAGCCATTTTGACTAATTCAGAAAATCCATTCTGCTGAGCAGGTTTTCAGGCCTACTTGTTATTCCTGCATGGCTGCTGTCAAGATAGAGAGCAGATCTGTTACTTGCTCAGCCAACACCTTGGTGGTTTACTACAGGTAACAGCTTCCGAAATGCTGCAGAACTGTTGTACTGATTCTACAAAGCTATCTTCTCTGGAGGGTCATGTACTGGAGCATGGCCCAGGGAATATAACAGTGTAAGAATGTATGGGTTAGTGCAAGACTACTCCAAAATAAGACAACTGTAGTGATAGGACAAGGGGTAATGCGTTAAAACTTAAACAGGGGAAGTTTAGATTGGATATAAGGAGGAAATTCTTTCCTGTTAGTGTAGTGAGGCACTGGAATAGGTTGTCCAGGGAGGTTGTGAATGCTCCATCCCTGGCAGTATTCAAGGCCAGTTTGGACAAGGCCTTGGGCAATATGATTTAGAGCGAGGTGTCCCTGCCCATGGCAGGGGGGTTGGAACTTGATGATCTTAAGGTCCTTTCCAACCCTAACTATTCTATGATTCTATGATCTTTCTGCTAACTATGGATACAAAGACTGCAACATATATTGCCAATGCTCCTGTGGCAAGTATAGTTCACTCGCAGTCCTTTGTTACAACTGCAGTAAGTAGATACAGGATTTTGTCATTACCTCTGCTATTATGGTTAAGAATTCCAGATCCAAGTTTCCTAGTCACAAGTCAATGAATTTTCAGATAAACAATATTTGACACATATGTCCAGTTTTGCATCTTGTGCTGAACTTAGTTTCAGAGAAGTAGCTGATCGGCTGTATTGAATCCAGCATCTGTATGCACTTTGTAATTAAAGCAACTGTTTATTTTTATCCAGTATAGGGGAAACAAAAAAATACCTTGGTGATATTTTAAAGGAGGCACTGTTATCTATCATTCTGGTGGTCTGAAGACCTCTGAAGGTCTAATGGAGGTAAAGATTACAATCCCAAGTATTTAGCTGATTCAGAGGATGAAACAGCTTGTCATGCACTCTTTCCTCCATGCATATGGGCAGACTGGATATATGTATAATTCAGCAGTGTTCTATTTTGAGCTGTCAATATAGAACAGTCCTTATGCTCTCTGAATAACTTTGTGTTGAAAAAAGCTATTTTATTAGGGGTTTAGAGTTTTAATCTTTAATCTTCATGGATTATTTTAATGAATTATCTTCATAGATGTAATCTTCAGGATTATCCCTCTGAATTCTTATTTGTATACTTCTGTGTTTTTTTCTTTAATTTTGTCCATCTCTGCTTCATCTTGCCATGATTGCTATCAAAATTTTCTGTTGTACTACCTCAGAGAAGTATAATTCTTTTCTCAATTTCTTTTATTTTGTGTTTCACATTAAAATTTAGCATGGGAATTAACAAAAGGCTTTAGTCTTCTAAGATGTGGCCCATGCTGTCTCAGTCACTGGTGTACTTGGGCTGGAAATTAGGTTGATGTGTCTAAGCTGTGTTAATAATATTACATATATATGTAAATACACTTTTAATGAACTGTAGGAGAGATTTAGTGAACCTCAGAATCATTCGGGAAGTCATTTGTGGTTTAGGCTGTGAGAAATCACACCTGTTGGCCTAGAACCTGCTACCTAAATTCCATATTTGAAGCTGGAACCTAAATATGAGCTAAATCTTTATCACGTTTTAGAAGAGTAATTCTTTGCTTTCTGTGCTCTATGCAAATCCCGTGACCCCTTTTTTCTCTGAGATTCAGTATTGCTTGTAATCATGAATATCATACAGATATTTAACCTAAAGCAGGGAAAACAAAAAAAGTCACTAAAGAATTCACTTTTGCCATGTCTAAGTAAAGATTTTAGGTCAGATCAGCTACTTGCTTATCATTTATTATCATCATAAAGTTGTTCCGCTGATCTTAAAGAAACTATGCCAATTCATACATTCTAAGGACTACGAATCATATTATAAAGAGGTTTTACCCCATCCATCTTTGATAAGCACTAGCTATTTTAGAACTAACCTGTAAGTCATATTTCAAGCCTATAGTCATTTAATTTAACCTTTCTCCGATTTTCCTTTAGCACTCCAAATATCCCTGGATACACTGGCAAGGTTCATTGGTCAGCAACTCACCCAGCAAATTCTAATCTTCCATCAACAACCCCATCAATAATTGCACGAATGCATGGGTAGGTATGAGACATATTTCTCAGCTTGTTCAAAAAGATTACAGGGAAAATCCTAATTGCATTTATTTAGTTAAAGAACAATTAAATGTTAAGCATGACATTCTATTGCCTTAAAAAATACTGAACAGTCGGTGTTGGATCACATGATATTATTGGCATGCTAATCTGAAGTCCTTTTGAGGTTTTAGATTTTTTCTGGAATATTGGAAGGTATGTACTGGGGAGGTACCTTAGCACTGAGGTAAATCATGATTTTAAAATGTGGATTATTTCTACACTGAGAAATTTTTCTTTAGCTACGGTTGCTAAGTCATGGTTTAAGTTACTTTTTTTTTTTTCCTGATTGATCTGTGTGTTTTGAGAGAGACCTATGAATGTCAAACTTTACAATTCCCCAAAGAAAACTGCGTGGTATTGTATTTCCAAATTGGTTCTAGCAGATATATGAAATGTGTATTTGCTATACAAAATAGTTCTTAAAAATGAGTGGGTTTACTTAGAAGGCAATAAGAGGCAAAATCATGCCATGCCCCCACACCGATGCAGCCCAGAACCCTGTGACTATGAAATCATCACAGCCCCACATCACAGTTCTGGCTGCCTCATGAAGTGAATCAGTAATTTCTATTCTCTCTTGCTCTTTTATACAAGGCTTGCTAAAACTATGGGCCAGTATGATGTATTTAGATAACTCTTGTTAGTTTAAAAGGAGATGGAGACTTCAGAACAGCTGAAAAACCCTTTTCCTTTTGTTAGTGCAAAGAGTTCTGACACCAGCAAAGGACCAACCCAGCCTTTCTCCCAGCAGCTTCAGAATAGCTTAATAACTATTTGTTTCCTGTCTCTCCGTTATGATTCTGATTTCTCTTTGTCCATAGTAATCTAGAACGCTGTGATGCTGTCCCAATTTTCCATGTTTTGCTGAGATATTTATCTTCCATTAAACTGTTTAATTTGCCTTAGAATTCTGTTCAGAGCACATCATCCTTCTTTTTCAGTGCTGCCAGTGAAAAGTATCCAGAAAAAGCTTGAGGAGCTGCCTGGACTTTACAGAATTCACCTTGTCAAGTGTTTCAGCACCATGCAAAATGCACTGACTTTCATTTCTGCTGCCCTACATCTGTTCACCTCTGCTCTTTGTCTCTTGTGGCTATGCTGAGACAATAGGCAATCACCTGTAGTTGCAGTTTGCTGTTGACAGGGATTGAAACAATGCAAGAGAGTCCTGAGCCTCTATAGGCTAATAAAGCTGAACCCACAGCATCCTGGTGCAAGACTAACTTGCTTGAAGATGTCATGGGCAAAAAAGACATATGCATCTTGGCAAAGATCATCGACAGACTCCAGAGAGATACTAAACTTCAATAGCCACCAATGTGGTCTAAGAAAGGAAAACACATCTATTACTTCCCTTTACTTTACACAGATGTTACTGTGGGTGTAGTTCATGGTGAGTTTTCTTAGTTTTTAGTAGATACCAAGAACAGTGCTCTCGTTCTGTGCTGACGGATACTTTCCATAACCAGGAATTAATCCCTGATGTTTTGAAGAAGTGTGTGTAGGAAACATATGTCAAGCACATTCATATTGTACATTGTAGGACAGGTTTTACCACCCTTTTTCTAAGCTGAGTGGTACATTTCCCCAGGGTAATGCCTGCGTCTACAGAATTGTAACAGTCCTATTTTACTTTCTCTGGACCTGCTTGTGGTCTAAGATAGTGTTCACTGACCTAAAATAGGGGTACATAGCCCTCTTTGAAACTGCTATGTAATGCCATTAGGGATGCTGGGAATCTCCCCCCAACATTAGACAGTGATGCCCATAAAAGAGGGATGCTTAATATTTGATTGCCTTCCCTTTGTGAAATAAATGATAGAAATTCCTTCTGATTCCAGTGGACACAAATCAAGTTATACTGTAGTGGAGAGGTGAAGAGACAAGAGTTTATTCCTGGGATCTGGGGTCAGACTACCCCAATTCACCTCCACACGCTTTTCATGGATGACATGATCCCATTCTTACTGTTTTTAAAATGGTAACCCTTTTTTTTTTACCCTTTGATCATTCTAAAGCCATGACTGCAATAATTTCTCAGAAAGCAGCAAGTGATTGCATGTGGTGGATGCTTTTATAGCTGCTTTATTTGACACGTCTACAATATATGGTCAGTCTCCTGAAGACAATTATGGGTATCACAGGGAGTCTCTTGTCTACTGTTAACATGGTCTAATAAATGTTCCTGTCAAAAGTATCAGCAATACCAGATAGACCAGGCAGCACGCAACCGCTTCTACACTATGCATAGAGCTTCCACAGTGTGTGGGTCAAAATTCATTATACCCTGTTTTAAGCATTCTGAAATCAACAGGACTGTACAGGATATAGCACAGAAGAAACATGGTTTCTTCATCTTCAAATATGAGTAGTATTTTTATATGTCAAGTTTATTGATGTATTTTTATTGTATTTTTATTTCCAGGTAATCCCAACGTGAAGTGAGCAAATTAGGTTTCAAAGTCCTGTAGTGCAATCAAATTCTTTGTTTAGATTTTGCATAGGAAGCAACGTTTTATGTTTCGTTTTGGTTTGTGTTTAAATGAACTGCCCATTGCCACTTGAAAAACACAAATTCATTTGCATTATGAGTTGTATGGAAATTCACTGGCATCATCATAGTTAATGTAAGATTAATTTAGTAATTGATTTTTGAGAGAAAGGTTGCACCCTTTCAGCAAGTTGCTTTGGAGATTTCAAAAGGGATTTAAGTCGAAAGTATTTTATGTTTGGGGAGTGAGTGAACATAAGATTCTGTGATCAGTTCTGTGTCAGAAAAGCACAGAACTGACAAAACACTTAAAGAAAAAGCAGCCCTGTTTTTCTTTAGGTGTTTCATAGCAGAGGTGCTTCATGGCAGTTCTTCAAATATGCAGTGCAGGTTAATTGTGACACAACCTTGTGTGTCCAAGAAAGTCTGAAAAGAGACAAGAGGCAGACAGCATACCCCTGTTAGAGTTGCTGTAGGGATCTGTCTTTCAGCATGTTACGTATAACCAGAAAGTAAGATTTAAAATAAGATTTAAAACTCTTACGAAGATTTCCCACCATTGTTTTTAGGGGAGCTGAGCCTAATACTATGACATACTGCAAGCTGTTAATATTCTCTGAGGCAAATGGGCATAACTGTTTATGAACAAAGCAGTGAGAAGGTAAAAGAGAGCATGTTTACCAATGTAAGAACACATTTTGAAAGTCTTTCTTTCTCTGTGGCTGCAGGTACCTAGCAAAACATGTAAGTTCATCTCAGTATAATCACCAGAACATTTTTCTCAAAGGGTAACTCCAGTTAGTCTTCATAATTCTTGCAACAAACTGTTACAGTTTAGAAAATGTCAGTCCTTTTCACCTGCATAACTGAGAGCCTCAGTGTCTGACAGTGAGGAGGAAGGAAATATGTGAAGATGTGTGGATACTTTGAGTAGGGAACAAAAATAAAATAACATAGCAGTGGGTGTTTGTGGTAGTCCTTATTACATTAGTCTTGTATTTATGACTTTCTAGCGTTGACAGTTAAAACCATATTAAAAACAAAAGGAATCAAAGGCTTGAAACTTGTTCTCTGTACTGGATTGCCTTCTTAACTAAGGTTGAAAATGATGTGGCAGCTGTTCAATCTGTTTATATAATTATTTTGTGTGCATACATACATACATATATACACATACACATGTATATACACATACACATGTGGACATACATATGTAAATGTATTACTAACTAAGAAATCATTACAGAGCAGTAGCCCTTCTCCTCAGCTGTCAGAAGCATGCCTTGCAAAGATGGTTAAATGTCACAGAGTGATATTTTAATCTTAGAGATTTTAACCTCAGAGATTTTAATCTCTGGGTCCGTGTGTAGTAGTGAATAAAAGGGGCCAGGTTATGATCTCTGGTCTGGAGGCTAGTTAAGACTGTGTGGCTTGCATCCATACTTTAATTCTGTTATGCTTACGTTGAAAACATTAAATAGGTAAGATGGAGGGCCAGGATTTAGGTCTCTGTCTTGGCACCGTTTATTTCTGATGTTGGTGTAGACAACATGCAGATGTTTCACCCATGAGGAAGAGAAGACCAAATGCAAATTTTTAGGTAAGAGAGTTCTGCTGTGCTCCAGGATCCAAGATAGTCCAGATAGTTTCATTTGGACAGCTTGGCAACTTGCTCAGAAATTTCTGTCCTAAAGTCTCTTGTATTATCCAAATCATCTGTATTCCTGCTCTGTTGCCTCTACTGCTTGCTTTCTCCAGGGCAGGCTTTCTCCAAGCTTTTGAGATGCATATGTCTAACATGTTTGTAAGAAACAGCTTTCCCATACCTACTTAAGGGCTTTCTGTGAATGATTTTTAAAATGCACCAATGGCAAAAGGCCTTTTTAAGAGCAGACTGAAGACTCATTGGAAGTACTGAAAGGTAGGGAACATAAATCACAGACCCAGAAGACAACAAATCCATGAAAAGAACTAACATCCCTTAACAAAGGGGTTAAGATCCTCAGCAACAATAATGGGAACCAAGCATCCAAATCCTTGACATTGCTGTACAAATTTCAGTCACAGAGGACAAACAAGCCCCTAGGAATGTGAGATGACACCTAAGCAAGGCAGGCACTGATGTTAAGGTGTGCCATCTCTCCTAATAAGACTGTAGCAGATCGTTTATCCTAGAGTGGAGCAGAATGATTCCAGTTCTTGAAATGTCTGACCTAACAAAGAAACTGTAGGACTTCTAGCTTTCCGTGTTTTCATTGTGCACAAATCACTGATATCATATTTTTTTTAAAAAAGGATGCTCTCATCTAATCAGTTTCTCTGTATGCATTAAATTAGAATTTGCATGTACATGTGAGAAGTTAAAACTCATGTATATGTACAGAAAGCACACAACCTGCCTTTGCCTTTTGTGCTTGTTCATTTTGGAGCTGTGCATGTATGCAAGTCAGTGAATATTTTAGATAAAAACATAGTCTCTTTTGAAAATTTATTTTACCATGTCATATGGAATTATGTACCACACAAAAACATTTACAAATCTTTTACAAGGGCTATGTTGTTATATGCTTGAGAAGGATTGCAGTGAAATCTTTCAGAGCCTCTACCCTGCAGTGCAAGGAGAGTGATCTGACTTTGGGTATGAATGTAGGAACTGTCTTTGCGCAATGCAATGTGGCATCACAGGCTATATCCTGAGCAGAAACTTCAGTTCCATTCAAACTAGCAGATGAAAACTGATTATATTTTAAACCAGCAGTGAGCTAAGAACATCAACTACAATGACAGATGCCATCGCTTGAGTAAGTTCAGATTGGCTGCTTTATGTATAAAAATATTTTACACATGGCATAATTAAAGCACAATAATCTAAGGAGATGGGAGCTATTTTGAAAATGGAGCAGGTTCTTAGCTGGATAACTCAGCATAGCTTTCTCTGACTTTACAGATTATTTGAGAGCTAGAATTTCTGCATCTATGAGTGAAAGCTGTGTATTAGAAATCCTCTAGATAAAACTGTTAAAAATGTAAGGATGATTTACACTTCTCTATACTGCTAGATCAAGCTGAAAAAATGTAGAAAAAAAATAAACAGTGGGGAGGAAAGGAGATTTTTAAACTCGGTTTCTAGTTACTTTCAGTTTCTCTGAAAACTTGAACAAAGATCAAGAAGCTCTTGGGCTTTAATTGCAAATGAAATGGAAATGCTTGTGTCCAAGCAACTCATTTCATTTAATATCAATTTGGTTTTAACGAATCTATATTTTAATTCCAAGATTATGGGAGACTATTCCTTGAAACCTCGAGGGAAAATTTTCGTGTATTGGAAGTGAAGAATTTACAAAAGTATTAAAAAAAAAAAGAAAAGGTATGTGGCACGTTGAATATAAGGCCTATCCATCCCTGTTTTTTTCTGGTTGTAATAGCATTGCTCTTGGTAGTGAAGACAAAAAGGGATTTTTCCCATCATGTCAATCCTATAAATAGCACCACTTGATTTAATCTGATCTGTTCTAGATTCATGTGATTCCTGGTATGGTGAACTGGTAATTGCTATCTTAAAATTTTCTGACTCTTCCACACTATCCTAAAGAGAAATAACACAGACACACCCCCCTAGTTGATAATGTGGCATATGATAGAAAGTATATGATATAAAGTATATGAAAGGGAATTGCTATTAAGGAATGTTAATTTTGCCTCCAGTTGGAAAACAGTGAACAAATACTTAAGTAAGTTTCTGGGGCAACTTCTGCTTTCTATCTTTTAAATGCCTTGCTGAATCATAGATGTTGTTAATCTATACACAGTGTTCATAAAGCAGTCAAATTTCAAGTCATTAAAAATCATTTTTGGATCTGTTCCTTTGAGTTATGGCATCGACACCTAGATGAACAGGAACAGAGTTGGTTTCCGGTGTGTAGTAAAACCCCTGAAAAACAGTGCTGCTGTGAGAGAAATGGTTTCCTGGGTAGAATTTAGTTGGTTTTCCTTCTAAAGACTTCTAAAGGCTTCAGAAAGTATAGTCTTCTAAAGCAGAGCATTTACACTACACAAAAAGTCACTACATCTGCAGCTTGTTTCACAGAATTTGTCTTTATAAGCAGCAGGCTTTGGAAATTAAATTATTTAAGTAATTTTGTGTGAAGTAGTTGTTAGCACAGTGACAATGCTTTGAATATGATCACTTCAACATACACAGTATATAAACACATCTTAAACTATTCTATTTCTTTCTAAATATCTCTAAATACTATCTATATATTTTGTATGCACAGCTACTGAACCCCTTCAAATACATTTTTGCGTTATGTTGAATAGATTGATCATAAACATTTTGTCATGGAAAAATAGGCTACAGCAGAACAATTAGCATAACTAGCTAAAGTTCATATTTTTTTAGACTAAATTTTTTTCTCTCTTGCTCCTTTCAGAAACATGCATTTAAAAAGAATTGTGGTTTTTTTGGTTTATTTGTTATTTTATTCCTAATGCTTCTCATCTGCCATCTAGTAAAGGTCATAGAAATATTAATGTACTTCCAAAGCAAGAGGACCAAAAAGCTTAGAGTATGGGGATGCAAATTGCAAAAAGTCAGTGGCCTGTATCTTCTCACAGAATTATTTAGTAATGAATATACCAAGTGAAAGAGAAATGTCTGTTGGGTAAACAATACACATAAACAACTTCATGGTAGGAAAATAATACGATATAAGAGGTTGTAGTGATTCTAGCCTGAAATCTTGAAAATGACTGGAGAAAATAAGGTACTTATAAAGGAGACAGAAACCAAAAGCATATAATAACTGGAAACTTTGTTTCGTTTTGCTGTAGATGGAAACATTTTTATTTAATAAAGTACAATTAAAATTAGAAAAATATCATGGGCAAGTAGAGAATTTGTGTGGCTTTCAGAAATCGAGAGATAAAGTACAATTTACTCGGAGAAGTTGGGCAGAGCAGAGAAAACAAAGTTTAAGTGGAGTATCCCTCTCCACTGATTGCTATAAAAAGCTCCTTGTTTCAAATCTCAGCATGTCTCAGCCACTGCTGTCTTTTCTTCCCCCCCCCCCAGCAATGTGGGACTCAAGAGGCTTGGATTACCCTTTAGCACAGAACTCTGTGTATTTCCCAGTGTGCAGCCATACAAAGCAGTCCTGATGTATCCAGCCATCCCAGGGTTTGCTCCCAAACTACTGATGTATCTTGTGCTGAACAGCTGCTTGTCATGTCATCCAGGTCCATTTGTATTTAAAAAATGCAATTGCTGGCTTTGTAGTAAGGAACGAGTACATCTTGGATGGTAAGAAGTCAAGACTATGCCCTATATCTTCACTGAAAAACAGCAGCTCTGAGATAGGCCTGATGAAATGTGTCTCAGTAAAGGCTGAGAATGAAAATAGCTGCGCAAATCATCTCCTCATTTACTAACTTTGACTTTCACTGGGGGTTTCTTCAGAGAAATAGAGATCAGGCCTAAGTATAGCTGCTTATGGGACCAAAGCAGTTGCTGTTGCTGTGTGCTCATTACTTGGTCTGGTAATGAGCATACGTAGTGAGTTTATGATTTAGATATATGTAGGCCATGAAAGTCAAAGGTCTTTAGGCATCCATGTTCCACTGACTGATGGCTTTGTTTGCCTGACTGTGCAACACTGGAGCATCACTAACTCAGCAGCAGGATAACGTTATGGTAAGTGTTCTTCCTTTTACCATGGCTTATACTGAAAGCCTCTGACAGTGTCCTATGTTTGCTCCTTAATAAAGATCTAAACCACAGCAGCTTCTCTCATCTTTAACGTGGTCCTTTGATTCAAGAAATCATCACTTTATAACAAAGTACTTAGAGACAAAACAGTACAAGCAT